GTCCCTTCTCGACCAAAAATTGGACGCCAAACTTCGCCAAAATCAACCCACGAACGGTCCCAAGACTTGCTCTGATACCAATTTGATAGGAAACACTTGTAGATCTCAAGTATTTCCTATCAATATTCGGAAAACAGCGAGCTTTCTTCACAATAATCCGCACAAAATCACAAAAACAGTAAATAACTTGTATTATTTGATGAAAGGAACACGAAAAAATAGCAAGATACAATTGATCCTCAATTCGAGAGGAGGACTGATCTCTCCCAAATCTCTAGACGCCGCTAGAGCCCAAAAGAAAACCTTAATCTAAGAGATCTCAAATTTCAGCCAAATTCAAGATACCCAAACTCTAGGAAAACAAAGTATTTAATGCATACAAATCAAAAGGAAATCTCTAAACAGTCCCTACATTCAAATTCCCTTCCCAAATCCCTCAAAAATCCTTCCTAAAACTGTCTGTGGACGTTTGCGGTGCGATCGATCACGAAAACAGGGCGGAGGCAGTCCGCCTCGTCGTGCTCAGGCCGGTCCCGTGTGGACCGGCTGGACCGGTCCATTCCAATGGACTGGTCTAACAGATAAAGACCTGATATAATAAGTAGAGAGGAGTTACAGAGAACTAAGAGATACAGAGGAGTACACAAAGCTGTGTTTCATATTTTCACACTATAGTAATAAACAGGAGGTATGTTTATAGAGATCTAAGATGTAATGGCTTTGGAGTACTGCAGGTTTATTTAAAATCATAAGGTTAGCATGAGATGAGCTGTTTTCGATGAACGAGTGAGATATACAGCAGATGGATGCGGCTGTACTAGTAGCAGGTAGTGATGTGGATGTCTGCGGGTTCCATTGTGTTTGCTGCTTGCTGTTTTTTAGATGATAGGAAGGAATTGTTATATTTACAATTGAAAACACTTTAAATAAAAAGCGTTTAGTTTTTTATTGTAAAGGAAATTGAACTCCCAACCAAAAAGAAGATAATAGTTTAGCTTTTAGTAAAGTTTACATAAGGTGGCGAGGAAGGCTATTGCTTCTTAAATTAATTGATGAATTGAAGAAAGAAGATAAGAATATAAATAATACGGATTCTTGGGCAATTATTTACTATTCATAGAAGATGAACACATTGTGCATTTGATGGACTGTAAATAATTGTTGGGAAAAATAAAAAATGTTGAGCAAAGCAAGGGCGAGAATTTTGTAGAAAAAATTCAAAATAGAGATTGTTCATTTATGCCCATGGCTTTACAATTAAAAATCGTTCTACTTCAAGTGAAATGGTGTACATAATAATTTTTTCTTATTCCTCTAAATTTTGGAGAAGATTAACAAAGGACCTAGCTGTAACTTAGGAGACTATAAGGAGTTTATTTCAAAAGAACATTGATCCGCATTCTTGTTCACATCAACATCAATCTTTTCTAGGACCCCTTTCCATAGCTCCACGATAGTGCATAGTACACTGTAAGCTATACAGCCGTCTCTTCAAACAAGTGCCAACTAGTTTTTTTTTCCACACAACATAGTACAACATAACTAAACCAAGCCAGCTTCTCCCTTGCACCTTTTAAAATGAACATATTTTCCTATTTTGAAGGTTATGTCTCTCACTAATAAGTCTAGTGCTCTTAAAATTCAAGTCCAAGTATCTAAATTTTGCCAGGTAATGCAGTTTGAGTGTCTTGGATTTCAAGGAAAATGTCACCTTTTTATTCAATGCTAAATAACACACCTTTTCTACCTTCAAAATTCAGCTCATAAATAATTGAAGTGTTTGCTCCCTCATCCACAAAGCCTGCTCACCCCTCAGCCTCGTCCATTGCACTTCACTCTCTTATATGTATTCAGTCTGCATATATTTGAAATGAAATTCTTTTCACCAGTTTCTCAAATAATGCTTTGCTAGGTAGTCATTTTGCAGAACATTCTTTGGAATTTTCGAGGGGTATGAATGCATTGGGTTGATTTGGCATTATTGCACCCGTCATGGTTTTATGCAGAAGTATGCTAATCAGTTTGTGCTATGAGCCAATCCAACTTTCCTTCCATTAAATCTGTTTCTTCAGCTATTTCATTATTTTGGAAGAAGCTTGCGTATATATTCCCTAATGAGGAGGTGTGGGGGATGGAGGTACTTGTGAATAAGAAAGAGAAAGGGCAAAGAAGTTGAAACAAGGAGAAAGTGGAGACTAAGTGGAAAGGGAGGTAAGAAAGATATATAAAGAGAGTGATTAGAGTGGAAGTTCACTTTTCAGCAACCAATATAATTCATTTCATTATGATGCTTGCAATTGAGAAATAACCCTTATGTATCCTTGACTAGTATTACAACAACAACAACATCAATCATTTGTCCCACTATGTGGGGTCGGCTACATGAATCCTTTTTCTCCATTGTGTTCTGTTAAAAATCAAATTATCGTTTAATCTAATAAAGAAAGATCATTTCATATATTTTCTAACCAAGTATTTTTAGGTCTACCTCTACCTTTTTAGGTTACCTTGACTAGTAGCGAAATAAAAATAATATGTAGAAACAACATTAGACATTATTAAAGCTGAAAATGCGTAATCCCAATACTATGGTTTCTTATGCTATGCCAGTAAACGAGGTTATTTTGATAAATTCTCATATGATCTCTAGATTCAGGTTCAATTACACACTTGGCATAAATGGTTATGTCCATTTGATGGGGACATTAGTTGGAAAGTCTACCGTCGACGTGACCGTAGATCAACGGCCATGATTTATCCGATGTACTTTTGATATTTTTATTGTCTACTTATTAATATATCTTTTTTATTTCAGCATTTTTTCCTTTTTACCCTTGCTTGAGGGATCAAGTCATGTAGCCCATTGAGGGTATTTGAGTCCTTTTTGTTTTAAGTCATTGTAGAGGCTATTTAAGGTCTTCATCTTGTTCTTTTGAGGTCAATGAATGATAATCAAAGAAATTTCCTGCAATTGTGTTCTTGAGGCTTAGGTAAGAGCTTGAGAAAGAATTTGAGAGTTTGGTGGAGCCTAGGAGAGGCCACCCGTCGTACCCAACATTCACCACTGGTGGCTCTTGGTTCTCCTCCTTTCCTTCTTCCCTTCTACTCCACTTCCACCGCTGGCCATGCCCACCACCAACCTCCACCCCATAACCCCTCATACCAAAGCTCACCTCAACCTAACCACCAACCCAATCCCTTTTCTCCATTAGCTCCTCCACCCACCCCACCCAAGCCAAGCCCCATTGCCGGCCACCCTTGTTTGTCTCCATGAACGAGGAGTCAATGCCACCTCAATGCTTACCCAAAGAGTTCAAATAATTTGGAAAATTATTTTCATCATTTGAAATTCAAATTTTGAATTTCAAATAGTTTCCAAAATTAGAAAGCTATTTTAGGAAAGTATTGAATCTCATTTATGATTTAATTCAAATTTAATTTGGGTGGAATTTTTCTTCTCCTAAATTAAAGAGACCAATTAGGAAGGGGATTTAAATTTCTCCACAAAACCACCTCTCCCCCTCTCTCCATGCCGCCGGCCCCTTACATGGGCTCCACCCCTTTAATGCTACATTAAGGCTCTTAATTGCTTGTGTTTTGAAATCCAAATTCAAAGTGTTTTCCCTCCAATTCTACTCAAAACCTGAAAATAATTTCAGATTTGGAGATTAGAATATTTCCACCTTCCCTCAACCTAATTCTTCCCAAACCCTAATCCTTTTTCCCCTACAAGCTGCCGACCTCTCTTCCCACCACCAACTCTCTCCTCTTTCCATTTATTAGGCTCTCTCTTTCTCTTGCTTATGATGTATGACCAATCTGGAACTTGATTCCGGTCTTGCGTAAGACGACTACATCATCGTGGATCCTCTCAAATTGTCGTTCTTCAACTAATCTACGCCTTGACGGATTCATAGGAAAAACCGTCGACCACATAAGATTCACTACGCCCGAGGTTATGGAGGAACCACTAGTGAATGTCACATAGCTTATCAAGACGGGTTCTCCTTGAAGGTGATCTTCTTCCTTGACTCGTGCATTTTCATATTCTATCTACTTCCTAGAGAGATTGTTCAAAGCAAGAGATTGTGTTCCATTATCGCCATCCATTAGTAAGCGTAGGATTATTGTTTTGTTGCTATTATATCTCTTTTTTAGATCAAGGTTATGTTGAAAGCTATTTTGTATGCATTACTTTGGATATTCCTAAATGTTTTGATTTCATTTAGTCTCTTGCGTAGCTTAGCCTAAATGGAAGTGACCGCTTATTAGTTTTATTTTGTTATTTTAATCGCTAATCTTAGTAAACTTGAGGCGTAAGCCTCATAAACTAAACTTATTGCGTAGACTTTGAGGCTTAATTGGTCGAAAATGCGCTGAGGCGCGCCTCAAGGCGCGCCTTTTATTGCGCAATTTTAAACGTTGATTTTAATTGCTAATAACTAAAATCCAAAATTGCTCTTTGATTATTTTGTGCAAGTTTCCTATTTCGCATCTAGTCCGGCATCACCATTAGTGGTGAAGTGCTTGAGCAATAGTTTTTTGTTGCATGGTGATGGGTGAATTTCTTTTGTTTTATTTCTTCAACGTCCTTTTGCATTCTTTTCCTTAGTTTTTTGCACTTGATTTATAGTTTTTGTTGCATGGGGATGGGGGAATTTCTTTTATTTTTCTTCTTCAACATCCTTTTGCGTTCTTTACCTTAGTTTGTTTCACAACTTGCATTAACTTTATGGCCGGCCCATGTATAGGATTTTGTTTTGGTAATGCATTACTTCTTTTGTTTTTTGAAATCTTCCTATCTGATGAGCTTGTTTGTGTTGGAAACTCTCACACAAAATTCTCATACCTCACATGCTCCCACTCCATGACTTTATGGACACATAGAACTCACTTTTGGAATAACTCACCTTTCTTATGAGAATAGAGATACTACATAACATTACTAGATGGAGCTTAAAAGCCTTTTTTCTAAACACCTTGTTTTTTTTTCTTTATAGTGAGGAAAATGTCTACTTGCTCTGCAAGAAACTTGTCATGCTTGGGGTTGCTGCTCCTACTGTGCGTGATCTTTTTGTCGTATTCATATCCAATGATGATAAAAAGGTATGGTTAGTCTGCATTTTTCCAAGGTAGCTACATAAAAAGCTACAACATTTTTTTTCTTATGGTCGACCTTATGTCCTGTTCTTAAAATTTTTTATGCAAAATTGTTGCTTGTATGTCCAGTTATGTTGAATTTGTCTGTTTATGCATTTTTCACTTTCTAAGAAAGTAAACTTGCATGTACCAAGAGTATAAGTGGGCAATTCTGGCATGCTAGTTTCTTATGCCTTCATCGACACAAGTAAGCTTGTGCCCTTTTCTATATATATGTAATTCTTCATGCAGGTTTCCGACACATGGTCCCTGTACCAAATGATCTAGATCATACTGACTTTTGTAACTACTAATCACCAATGGACTTGATTCAAACCATGCTTATTATGATTGTTCAAAATATATTCTTTGAATTGTAATGGTTTTAGTTAATTAATGGCTAATTTTGAGTGCAAAAGATCGAATGTAGGAGTGAAGAAGAGTGAATTTTCATTCCCAGAATAAAAAAATCAATGACAAGAAATATGAATAAGCGTGGTTAGAAAACCTTTAGTGGGTATCTCAAATACATTGTTGCCTTGATGTTCCATGAAAACTTGGTTAGTGCAGTGTCTTCTTTTCAGCGTAACCCACACCCTCTTGCTTTCTTGCTCGCACTTTCCACTCCCAATGACCAAAACAATAAAAGGAAATAAAAAAAAAAAGGAAAATGCTCATCGGTGCTATCTCATTTAGAAGTTCGAGTCACTGAATTATTTCTAGAATTCTATTTATAATTAAGGATCTTGGCCTCTATCAATCTCAGTTCTCTTTTTTGTAAGAAAATATTTTTTTGAACATGTGCAATCTTTATGTTAACCATGCCATTTCCTTCTTTCATTCTGCATGTAAATGTGAAGTCATTTGCTGGACCTTTTGCTCACTTTATGAGCACTTGTAATGCTATTGATTTGAGGTATTATCTATATTCTTCCGAATCTTAAAAGGCTGCTATCATTTCATTCCAACCATCTGCTTCTTTGAGACTAGAAACCAGCATTGAAATGAGAAGGAATCAACTTTTGGTATTTCTTTCCCTTGTGATGGAACCTATATTCTTAAAAACATTTACCTTTATCTAGTTGTGTTGGTTCAGTTAAATTACGAGTTGCTAAATTCCTTCCACAACATTCAAGTCCATCCATTCCCCCCCCATTAGTTAAAAATTCAAGTTTGCATTTTAAAGCTAGGACTGAATTTTTTTGAAAGATGTTTTTTTCTCTTAGAATCTTATGTTTTTTTGTTATTTTCTTCTCCTTACCATGCATTTGTTTTGCCTTTATTTAATTAAAAAATATTGAAAACTTTCTATACTAAAATGATTACTCTGTAGTTGGGTCTCTTGGATTATTTTTATGTTATGCCATGTTATAAATGTCTAAATTCCAAAAGTACCCTAACTATTCAAATGTGGTTAGTTTACTCCCGTAGGATCAGATTTCTCTTATTTTAGTCCTTTTGAGTATATAAAATTGATCTAAAATAGTACGTCATGGTCTAAAGTGGGATCAATTTTGTTAAGTTGAAGATTAAATGAGATCGGTTTTGTATAATTTTTATATTAGGGACTTTTTTTTGATCAATTTTGTGTAGTAGAGGGATTAAATTGGAGAAATGTGATACTTTAGATGGCACTTACTAATAGTGGTGGGTTTTTCTGAAATTTAATTGATAATTCATTCTAACCTGCTATATATATATATATATATATATATATTCATGTTGACCGACATATCAATTACACACATAACAGAGCGAAATCTGCAACATAAATGAGGTTGGCGTGCGCGACGCGTTTTTTAGGAGTCAAACATCGTATCATTGTGATCAGAACATCAAATTCTCCTAAATGGAAGCCCCTCGCAGCCGAATCAAATAAGATCGGTCGAAATGGATGACCGATAAATGAAAACAATGTGCAGCATTGCCCAAACGACGTCTGATCGCAAAACAGATTTCGTGGTTGCTCTCGGAACATCGACAATACCCAAAATGGACTGCAATTTTGTCCAATGAAATTCATGCGCGCGAATCAATGTGATTTT